GGCCATTTAGGATCTGGGGCAAAAATTGGGGATTGGTTCTGCTTTGAGCAGGGGGTTGGACTAGATACCTCCTGAGGTCCCTTCCAACCCTGATATTCTAAGTCCTCTCTGAGGAGCCTGCATGAATATTAGTTTGTCTCATCACTTTCCCTTCCCTGGTTAGCCAGCTCAGCTACGATTCCCTCCACAGTGTGTCTGCAGGCGGCAGCAAGGGGGCAGACAAAACCCTGCCTCAGCCTAAGCATTGGCGTAAGCAGGTTTCACACCAGTGAAGCCAAGAGTCTCCTAGAAGTTAAGGCCAGAAGGGACCATCATGATCATCTAGTCTAACTCCTGCACATTGCAGACCACAGTCTCCACCTGGGGCCGAGTCGGCTGTGCGTATGGATCTGCAGGAAATAATGCTGATTCCTGCCCCAGCATCACTCTTCAGCCAAGTGACTGTATTCTTTATATTCGCAACTCTGGGACACCCCCTGCCTGGCTCAGAACAGTGCTACAGCTCAGGAGAGCCATGTCCGATGGCCGCACTCCCTCTCCAATCGGCCTGCAGGAGGTACTCACATAGCAATGCAACACCCATCGCCTTCCTCCTTGCCCTGTGCGGATGCCCGTGCCGCCAAGCTCCTCCAGGCCAGGCTGAGCAGGGCAGCATGAATTCCTGCCCAGCACCATCCACAGCTGCCTCGAAGCCACTGGGCAAGATGCTGCAGTCCACATTCCACATGGCACCTTAACACCATCACGTGCAAGCAAACGCCAATGCAAGCTGGAAATTAGACAATCACTAACCATCAGAGGACTTTGGTTCTAGAACAGCCTCCCAATGGGGGCAGTGAGGGTCAAACACCCTACTAGTTTTAAGATGGCACTTGATGAGTATCTGAACGGGATCCCATGATTGGGCTGCCTGTGATAGCAGGGGACGGGACTCATTGACCCAGAGGTCCCACCCAGTCCTCTGTTCAAGGTAGCTCTTCTATATCAGGAGGTCTCCAGCCTGTTCAGTTTGCCAGCCACTTCACAGGGGAGAGATCATCAGACAACACCCCTGTTCCTCTCGCAGCCACTGAGTCTCAGAATGAAAGGGCTCCATGGAGGGTGAAGAGTCAATACACTGCAGGCATGCAGGCAGCGCCGTTATTACATTACTTACACACGCATAAGAGCAGCTCGCTGGTCCTTCTGTTCCCCTACCACATGAGCCGAAGAAACGCTCCCATAACTGGTAGCACTAGAAGGTCCCTTACCCTCTCTTTGAGCAGCCACTGCAGGGTAAAATCATACACAAAGTGCATTGCAACAGTCCAGAAACCAGTTTGAGAACTACTGCCATTTATTTAAAAGAACCCCCAAACGTGTGTTACGAATGGTGCCTCCGCTTCTTAATATGGAAAAGTTTCTTGTTGTTTTCAGTCTGGTTTGCAATTCACCACCTATGCGGTTTGTTTGCAGGTGGGCCAGTGTAGCTTGACTAGGAAGTTTCATCGTATCATCAGTTGCATTTGCATGTCTCTCCTACACTAGCAGTCTTTGGTTACAGACACTGCAGGAGAATGGCTAAGCCTCACAAATGAAAGAAAACTAAACCCTGCACTTTCTGAAGTGGCAGAAAAACATGAAACATTTCGAGGAGGTTTATAAAGCTGTACACACAAACAGGCTCTGAATGTGGAATCTAACAGTCCTAACAGCATCCCTTCAATTTAACGTAAGAATTTAAGATGGCACTAAAACCGCCATGCAGCCCATAGAGCGAGCATTCCTCCTTTTGGTATTTTATCTGCCCTGAATTTAATCCTTTGTGACACATGTATTTACCCTGGTAAATCAATGGAGGTTATAGGCTTTTTTCCAGCAAAACTCAAGTACCTTAATTTATTGCATTAAATGGCCATATCAAAGGCTTTTCAGAGATCAGCAGAAAGTGCTGCAGGGTAAATTTCCACTACCACTTACCAGCAAAAGAAGCAGAAGAAGTCAGGTAATAATCAGCACTTTAATGTAGATTTCCAATTGTGATTAGATTAGGCACTGAGTGGCAGTAAGTCCAACAGAAGGTCTGGGCTACAGCCGCAAAGAGAAAATGTGAAGACTAGAGACTAAATCAATTTCTCTGAAGATAAAAGGCAGCCGGGAAAGTGGTGGATAATTATTCAGACCCACCTTTCTGAGGGAAGGGTAATTAGAGCCATATTCTAATTAATGCGTACCTTGCCCCAGCCAGTCTTCAAAGAAAACCAAGTGAGGCTGGGAGAAGAGACTCAGATTCCTCATGTCTCTCTCTGACAGGGGTGCCTGTCTTGGGACGGGGTGGAGAGGGTCAGGAAATCTTGGAGCAAGCAAGGGGGATGTTTTTTTTAAAAAAAAAATCTGTCCCATCGACCTTCCCCCCATGGTACTTTGGAAAGTCAGCCGTAAGCTGTCAAAGACGGGCTCAGTAAAGCCTCCGGGATTCCAACCTTCGAGAGGAGCCGGAGTCAGAAAAATCACAGGCTTTGGAGTTAATTACAGCACTAAGAAAAGACCAAAACCGACCTGGGATTTTGAAACGCTGTTGGCAGCCAAATTCAGATTAGCGAGGAGGTACGCTGCCTTCCAATCTTTGCAAAAGCAAAGCCAGCCACAGGCCACTGTCATTAGTTTAACCGTTAGCCCCTGGGTGGGAAAAGAGTGGGAAGCAAAGAGCCATTTCCCTGTCACTCAGGGGAAGCAGCATGGTCTGCTTGCAGGGGCGCTGACTTACGCCCAGAGGAGCTGGGTTTGAGTCCCCAGCTCAGCCACTGACCTGCTGGGTGACCTTGGGGACATCAATTCCCCTCTCTGGGCCTTCGTCAGGGCTGCACACAGCGGTTTGTTTTTGTAGGGTCTGTTTTGACTTCCAGGTTGTATGTGCTGCTTTGTTAGCACCGGGGCACCCAGAGTTTTCTCTCCTTTTAAAAGACTTGTGTTGAAGCCTATGTTTTGAAGTTAGATCTTGAGCTGAGTGATGGGGTCGACAGGAGCAGATCAAATTCCAGGCCCATCAGTCTGGGCAGGGACCCCTTAGCTACTCAACCAAAGACCACCCAGTCTTGGGGCTGCATTGCTGGGTCAGATTGGGACAGTGCCGCCAGCCATCTGCAATCCCTGACCATCATTGTTTTGGACTAAGCCATGCAAGGAGCCATGTCCGGCCATTAGAAATCTCCTGCCCTGCCTGTGCCATTTAGAGGCCTCCTCCATGGCCTTTCTCAAGAGCACAGAAACAACGGGGGTGGGTGGGGAGGGGGGAATTATCAGCTGTCTGATAACTTGGTGCTTTCAGATAAATCAGCCTCTCTCTCTTCCTAAGCTCAGCCCTACTGGGCTCTATGCCAAAGGCATTTGCTGCTTACCCCACTATCTGTTATTAATGAGGTTCAAAGTCAGGAGAATTCCTCACTCCTCTGTGCCTGGAGCAATGCATAGACTGAGTCATGAAGACTCATGAGTAAGGTTAAGATTTTTGTCACTGGTATTTTTAGTAAAAGTCAGAGACAGGTCGTGGGCAATAAACAAAAATCCACGGAAGCCGTGGGCAATAAACAAAAATCCGTGACCTGTCCTTGACTTTTACTAAAAATACCCTGGGGATGGGGCTAACAGTTGGAGCCCTGACAGGGGCTGACTGCTGGCCACTGCTCCAGCTCCACCACGGCTCCTGCAGCGGGGGCTGGCCGCCAGCCCCCATGGCCACTGCTCCGGCGGCCCCGGGGGCTGACCCGACCCCAGGAGCTGCTCCTGAGCAGGGGCTGACTGCTGCTCCAGCCCTGCCGCTGCCTCGGGCTGAAGCCAAAGAAGTCACGGAGGCCCATTAAAGTCACAGAATCCATGACCGAATCGGATCCTTACTCATGAGTCATTCAAGATGGATAATGAACCACAGTTATGGTACTGGGAACGACGCTCTTGCTGGTGTCAGTAGGAATCAGCACACACTTGCGAGTGCACAAATGTGCACCTGCCCCCTCTGGCTGGAATTATACCTGCTCCTGGGTTTGAGGTGGTCTTGCTAGAGACCTGAACAGGGTATAAGCGTCCCACCCGCTCACTCGGCAACTGGAATTGCTCTCCCAGCTCAGCTACCAGATCCCGCTGCATTTGGCACTGCAAGGTGGACACGCTCAGCCACTGCCCAGCTGCCTGCCTGTGTCGCTGCAGCCCAGAGCGGGTAGCAGGGGGTGCGCGAGTGGCGAGAGGTTGGATTGGCTCAAGCCACCTCGATTCAGTTCAGATACTGTGTGGCGCTGTACAAGTCCTGTCATCTAGCCTGTGCCTCGGCTCCCGGCTTGCAAACTGGGGGTGACACCTCCCTCCCTCGCACACACGTGCGGAAGCCAGTGGGGCCTGCTGGCTGGAGCACTGCATTGGAACTGTGAGGCTCTGGGTCCTAGTCCTGGTTCTGCCAGCAGCCTGCTTGGAGACCTGGTAGGGTGACCAGACAGCAAATGCAAAAAATCAGGACGGGGGTGGGGGATAATAGGAGCCTATGTGAGAAAAAGACCCAAAAATCGGGACTGTCCCTATAAAATTGGGACATCTGGTCACTCTAAGACCTTGCCCAAAGAGCGGGAGGAAAGGCTGGGTGTAGGCACAGCAGATACTTGCGCCCTTCCCCCGAGGGGAGCAGACCCTGGATGGGATGAGCAGCAAAACCTCCCCTGCTGGTAGCACAGAAGGGAGTGTCACGCAGGTGAGTATGCTCTGATCTCTTGCAGCCAGTGCTGCCTCATCTAGGAGGTTGGGGGACATTTGGGGAAGCTCCCTACCTGAAGTGGGGTGATTAAGGACTTCCTGGGGGGTGAGAGAGGGAACAGCCCAGGGTGCAGGTGATATTGCTCCACCTGCAGGTGAGGGAGCATGTGCCCAGAGCTGGGAAGGTTTGTGGTGTAACTCAGCCCTCTGGGCACTGCACTGACAGGGCTAGATCCACTGAGGCCCCACCCTCAAACTCACTGGGACTTGGTCTTGTTTTGCAGATGGACAGAGGTGAGTTCCAGCAGGATTCTGTCCTCAAGCAGCTGGAGGTGCTCAAGGAGGAGGAGAAGGAGTTCCAGAACCTGAAGGTGAGCAGCGGCCTGGCTCCAGCCTCAGGCACCTAAACCCCTTAGTATCATGCGTGACTTGCAGTAGCCCCTAGACATGCCAACTGATATCAGGTGCCACACAAACACCTAGGCGGAGGTAGTCTCTGACCCGAAGAGCTTACAGTGTGAACAGACAAGAGAGAAGGGAAACAAGGACAGGCAGACACTTCTCCAAGCTCCCAGGCACAGCCAGAAATAGAACGGATGTTTGCTGACGGCCAACCCAGTACCCTGCCCACTGGGCCCTACTGCTTCAGGCAGCAGCCACGAGAAGCGACATTTCAGAGCCCAGCTCCCAGGAAGCAGCTGCAATACGAGACACAATAGGCAGGTGTGATAGCATCCGGTCGTTCCTCTGGGCTCACCCACACGTCGCACAAGCCTCTCAGCACTCACCGCATGCACAGAGGGTTGTGCGCTGCACACCTCCCAGGCACGCACCGCCAGATTATCCAAAGAGCTTGGCGCACTGGGAGGAGCGCTCCTTTGGAAGTCGGGCCCCAGCTGGGAGTGCGGAACACTTGCGAACCTGGCCCCATCGGCAGGAAGCAGCCACCTCCACCAGACGCGCCCCGGGGCTAGGCTACACGAGAAGCGACCCTGCTGTAGCACGGCTGGTGAAGACGCTCTGTACCGACGGCGGGAGAGCGTTCTCCCATCGGCACAATGAGACCGCCTCCACCCAGGGCAGTAGCTACCGTGGCAGAAGCAGCTCTCCTGCTGACACAGTGCTGTCCACACCGGCGCTTAGGGAGGCGGCTTACCCACACCCCGGGGTGACATCAGTCATGTGTACTGCCACCTTCCCCTCCACATGCAGCCACGCCAGGCTGCAGCAGATCGGGCTGCTGCCCGTCAGCGTGGACAAACCCCAGCCTCCCAGCGGGTGTTCTGCGGGAGGTGCCCCAGCCGTTCTCTTTGCAAGGCCGGCTGTGGAAGAGCTTTCGCCTTCGCACACCTGCCCGCCGACTCGGCCTCCCAAAGCAGAGGCCATGACTCTCTTCTGCAGCAGCGTCAGGCTGCAGCCAACCCCCTCCCGCCTCCCCCCCCACACACACACACACTCCCCCCGGGCTGGGAAGATGGGTTAGTCCCGTTCCCCTCCTTGATTCACACCTGATCGTGGCATGGCCTCCAAGAAACTTCTCCCTCCTCTTGTCCCCCAGGTCTTCAGCGCAGGGGGTGTAAATACAGTCAGAGACCCAAGCCAGGAGGCATGGGAGTTGAGGCTGGAGAATTAGGTCCTGAGTCTCATTTATACTAAGATCCCTTTGCACCGCTCTGGCAGCACGAAGCGGACTTAAAGTAGGTGTTCAGGCCCCTCTGGCAGAACAGTCTAATGCAGCCTCAGGGCAAAGGAGAGAGAGGCCCAGTGGGAGGGGAGCAACCAGAGGCAGTTTAGTTAGAAACACTATTTGCAGTGACTTTTGGAGGTGCGGGGATGGGGGGGGGGAGGGGTATTCCAATGTCCCCAAAACTCATTGTAACCCAGGAACAGGCCTGGGGTCTGCAAAGTGGGTGAGAAGCTCTCTCACATGCTGGTCCCACTGTTTATTTGAGGGCGAGAATGGGTAATGTGTCTCCTGGTCGCCCCTTCCCCAGCCTCCCTGTCCCATGCTGGTCACAATGCACTGGTCTCTCCGAGACACGAAGAGGCTCCCACAGCCTGGTGCCGCACGTGAGAGCCACAGGGGCGCGGCACCTCTGAAAACCAGCTTGGGCCTTTCAACTCCCAGGCCCTTGGCCTGATACCCTCTTGGCGTGACAGCACCCCCCAGGGAAGGGGCTCATTGCCCTTGTCTTCTGGGAGTGGGGAAATAACTAAGTAAGGTATCATATTTAGCCGAGCTGTTTCCATAGCAACAGAGAAGTAGTCTTCATCTCTCCAGCACGCAGCTGTCTCAGCCCTTGTTGGTTCCCTGAGCCCTCTCTATCTGGCTGCTGAAGGGGAACATGGCTCCATAAGGACAGAGGCAGCAGCAAAAGCCAGTGGCGACTTACGGCAGAGACCCTTGCATCACAAGGCAGCGGGAGCAGAACCTGCACCTGCATGAGCTTGGGGCCAGGCCAGCTGCAGCTTCTTGCAGGGAAGTCATCTGAAGGATACGAGCAGCAAAGCTACCAAACGCTCCCTCCCACCCCCATCCTCACAAGCACTGGATTCCTTTGGGACTTCTGGATGGCTCAGGGAACAGGGAATGGGACGTGGAACCCCATTGCCTCCAGTTCCCCAGCTACAGCTGATCCAGGTCAGCAGTGTCTGCCAGCTGTTCCCTGGCTGGTGTGCCGTGAGTTTGGCAGGTCTCAGTGGAATGGTGGCACCGTCAAAACAGACTGCAGGTCCTAGAGCAGCAGGATGAGCCTGCCAAGGGCCCACAAGTCAGAACCTGCCTGGGGGCCCAGGTACAGAACAGTTGTCCCTGACCTGGGGCCATGGTGTAGTGCACACTGGACCTTTGCCATGCTCCCCCAAAGCACCAAGAGCAGTGACTGGTCACAAGATTCCAGCTCACAGCCCGTGCCCTCTGTGATTGGTCTTTCCATAAATCTATCAGACGCAGCCCTAGAAACGCTTCATTTTGAAACAGTATAAATCAAGTAAGGTAGGGCCAGATCCTCAAAGGTATTTAGGTGCCTCACTCCCTTTGGTTTCAATAGGAGTTAGGTACTGAAATACGCAGGGGAGGAAATGGAGCGGATACTCGATTCCAGAGGAAATCTCAAGCCAAAAGGTCATTGGATGGAAGGGGCCCAGGACAGCGGGGGTCAGTGATCATGAGGTTCCCCAGTGCTCCGTGTCCCAGTTATACATTGGGAACTAGTCAGCCGAGACCAGTAAGGGATTGTGTCACGCCTGCCCTACAATTCTGGGTGCCTTCAATGTTATGCACAGCGCTGACATCAACAGCCAGCCCACAAGCATGGAGGTCACACCCTGGCTTCCACCAGCCAGTTACTTTTTGCAGCCTAACACCCACTTGCTCCCAAATTTCCCCCAAACCATCTGCCCTGCAGCGTCCAGGCCACCTGACTATAGCACTCACAGAACCTTATTAACTTCTTTGCTCCTGTAAAGAGACTACATGACAGCTCATTAAGTTCCCAGGGGGTTGACAGACACTCTTATTTCAATCACAGCCCTGAATTGCTATATAGTAAAAGTAAAATGAACAAGAAGCCATCAGCGTAAGTGCTATCAAATAGAAAGAGTAAAGATAGAAAGGCTTACACACAAACAAAAGTAAAAATACACTTCTAAAACTTCACTTTAGCAAGTGACAATCTATGCTTGAGCAGCCTCTCACCTATCTTCATTTCCCAGAGATATCAACCTTCCTGGCTGAAGGACCCAACATTCTGTGATTTCAAGAGCTCCAGTCCCTTTAATCCCCCATGTGATGGACAGCTATGGGGTTCGCTCCCCTTTCTCTTTATAGTCCAGTAACCTTTGAAAAATAAACCCAGACCAAGCATCTCTCCTGCAGGGCTATAGACACCAGGCTGTCTTCCCAAAGTTCATTGACTCGGCTGTTCTTCCCTTCCTGTTGACTTCCCATCCCACCGTTGATTCCTATGTAAATGGGGCTTCCATTGTTTTGATTCCACACTGCTTAATTTCATTGCAGACAGGTAGATAGCTGCCTTCCCTCCTGCCTGGAGAAAACCTGCTTCTCCTTGTGTTTGGTCACAGACTTTAAAGAATAGCAGTGATCATCCATAATTCCTCACACTGTGTTAATATGGACAATTCACAATGATCTGAAGCAGTGGGTCTCAACCAGGGTTATGTAGTGGTCTTCCAGGGGGTACAACAACTCATCTAGATATTTGCCTAGTTTTACAACAGGCTACATGAAAAGCACTAGCAAAATTAGTACAAACTAGAATGTCATACAATGATGTGTTTATACTGCTCTATATACTATACACTGAAATGTCAGTACAATATTTATATTCCAACTGAATTATATGGTAAAAATGAGAAAGTCAGCAATTTTTCAGTTGTGTGCTGTGACAAGTTTGTATTTTTATGTCTGAGTTTTAAGCAAGTAATTTTTAAGTGAGGTGAAACTTGGGGTACACAAGACAAATCAGACTCCTGAAAGGGGTACAGAAGTCTGGAAAGGTTGAGAGCCACTGATCTGAATCACTATTGCATTACAGGTTTTCATAAAAGACCTTACTCGATACACTTGTATGGCACAGTAATATTGCATTCAATCAGCTGCGTCAGTTGCTTATCACTTGAGGCGCAGACCCCCTATCTTTATAGGTAAGAGGGTATCTGCCCCACTCACTGGGTTGGTGGCTTTGTTTACCTTTTATGTAAATGTACCTTCGTTGTCCCTGCCCAACAACCAACCTGGTCAAAGAAGCAAATATCCACTCCTTTGTCTAGGGCAGACTGGGCTTATGCCTTGTTTGCCAAACACATTTTAAGGACATAATTCTAGCACATATCCATACCTCTCTACACACAGCACACAAGAATGCTAATGAGCAGTGAGTTATTAGTTTCCCAGTGCTACACTGAATGCCACCTTCTGGGTTTATATTTCAGTGTTAGGTGTAGCGAGCATGTCAGGCCTGACACGCGTTGCTGACAGACCCCCAAAGGGCTGCTGTGTCACAGTAATTTGTCTCTCCCTTAAGGACCCCACCAATGGCTACTACAGCGTGAACACCTTCAAGGACCACCACTCCACCCCCACCATCTCTCTCTCGGGCTGCCAGCCCGACCTGAGGCCCGCCAACAAGCAGCGGGTGCCCACGGGCATGTCCTTCACCAACATCTACACCACCCTGAGCGGGCAGAACCGGCTCTACGACTACAGCCAGCGCTTCGTGCTGGGCATGGGCAGCAGCTCCATCGAGCTGTGCGAGCGGGAGTTCCAGCGGGGCTCCATGAGCGACAGCAGCTCCTTCCTCGACACGCAGTGCGACAGCAGCGTCAGCAGCAGCGGCAAGCAGGACGGCTACGTCCAGTTCGACAAGGCCAGCAAGGCCTCGGCCTCCTCCTCCCACCACTCACAGTCCTCGTCCCAGAACTCAGACCCCAGCCGGCCCCTGCAGAGGAGAATGCAGACGCACGTGTGAGCGGCTGGGACGTGGCCGACAGTGGGGGCTGGGCGGGGGCGGATGGCCAGGAGCCGAGGCATTGGATGCTGGGGAGCCCCCAGCAGCTGGGAGCTGCAGAAATGATCTTGGCCCAGGCTTTATTCTGGTTCTAGTGAGTTTATTTTCCAAAGCACTTTTGTCCACAGTAAAATGACACCCCATGGCTCCTGTGGGGTGCCTGGGGCAGGGAGGGGTGTCTTGGGCAGCTCTGTTCCCCCCCCCCACCGAAGACTTGCAGTCTCCTTCCTAGCCCCGTGGGGCAATGTCAAACGCGGGACCATTGCGGGGTGGGAGACTACGGCAGCCGAGACCAAACCGATTCAAGCACAAACCACAAGGAAGGTTGGACCTGGAGGCTGGGGCTGTGGGGAGGGGAAGGGGCGCGCCTTGCCACCCAGCATCCCCACCCCCCCGGGACCGGAAGCCTCTTCCGGGGCATTTTCCTCGGTGCCCCCTTTGGGGAGAGAGACGCCTGCCACGCGTGCCCCGAAGAGTGCCGGGAGCCCTGTGGCACTCAGTGCGCCCCTCTCGAGTTTTTCGTTTGGGCCGAGAACCACCCTGTGCCCATGGCCCCTCCTCACGTGAGCCTTCCGGCCTTTCAGCACTTACTTCACTTAACAAGAACTCTCCTCACCTGTCAGGCCACAGGGGAAGCTTCCCACCGGCCCAGGGGCTAGCAGCACGGTGGCCTCCCCACACTCGATGACAGGGCCACACCGGCTACACCCCATTGGTTTCCCCTCCCCAACACCTCGCCTTTCCTCTCCTCTGCAAGCCCTCCCACGGGGGCTGCTTTCCCTCTGGAAGCCGATGAGGGAGTCGGCTCAGAGACCTTCTCCCAGCGCCCTTCCTCCAACTTCCGCTGTATTGCAGCAGTGGGACGCTCCAGGGAGCTTGCATCTCAGACCCACCGACACGCCCGTCCCGCCACTCGCGATCCCATGACTCGGAGCCGTGTTTTCTGACCACGAGAGGGTGTGGCTTCATTTAAGACAGCGCATCAGAAGCGTAACGGGCGGTGGTGTAACATAGGCGCACCGACGCTGTTAAATCGGGTTTTCTTATTTCGTTCGGTGTTCAGTGTCCATCATATTACAGGGTGTCTTGGGACTGACCCAGTGCGCGGGGGCCCGCCCCGCTGCTCCACAGCGGATCTCATGCACCAGGGGACTCTGCCACGAGCCAGGAACTGTTGTTGGACACAGCACAACGGAGGACTGTCTGTATCTGAGTTAGGTATGACAGTCACAGAGCAGACCCTCCCAAAGCGGGGGGGCATGCCAGCAGAGAGCAATCTCTTACTGTCGCTTGTGTGTCACCCCAGTAGCACAACTGGAAGATTAATACAAGAGATGTAACAAGCTCCTCTGCTTCTGGTCCCTTTCAGGTTATTTGGAAGCTATGAAATAAACATGTCCATTCCGGGAGGGCACGTACCCCCAATTTCACTCTGCTTCTGTGCTTTCAAAATGGAGGCTCCTTAGGGCAGGCCAGGCCTTGCTGATCCCGGCTGGGTCAGATTTGATACAGTCATTCCCTTGGCAAAGATGGGAATCAGTTTGACAATCTCATGCCAATAGGCCAGAGTGTGAGGTTGATTTAGCTGTGGGGATCTGGCCTGGCCCATTGTTCTCATTTAACTTTCATATTACAGGGCTTTGGCCCCATTGTGCTAGGCACTATATGAACACAGAGGCTCCTGGGCAGCATTTGGGAGCGGGCTGGGAGGGAGATTCAGGCCTGCCCTAGCTGTGGACTCACATTAAACACATCAGATGCCATGGGACACTTCAGAAGGGTCAGAGGTTTATTGCTACAGCGGACACATCTAGGGGCGCTGCCCTGCTTCTCATGAGAAGTAACAGGGCAGAACTTGATCCATTTATCCTATTGAGCCATGTTTATTATGGTAGGATCTAGGGCCCCCATTGGACAGGGCACCGCCCAAACGGAAGGAGACCAGCCCTGCCCCTAAAATCTTGCATTCAAAATTAAAAATGAATTCTAGATGAAAAATCCTCCCTTGCTCCCGTTTATTAAAACTGAGGCAGCCTGTGGGAAAAAAAATTCAACTTTACTTTTCACCATTTGTTTGCTTTTGGTTCCTGTACTTCATCACTCAAGTCAAACTGAACTGACTAAGGGTAAATTTTTCAAAAGCCCCTAAGTCACTTTAGAACCTAAATGTTATTGAAAGTCAATGGGACTTAAGTGCCTAGTAAGATTTGCAAAAGCATCCAGTCACCTATCTGCGTCTTTAGGCACCTTACTGCCTTCATAAATTTGCCCCTAAGTGCCTAAGTTACTTCTGTAAATGCCATTTAAGCACCTAAGTCACTTAGGCATCTTTAAAAAAAATTTATCCTCAGTTCTTTCTGCCTCTCATTGCTGGGTTGCAAATGCCACTCTTTAAATCTAAACCACCATTAAAAACCAAACCCTCACAAGCCTGTGTTAGCTGGAATTGGGAAATAAATAAATACAAGTCATAAGAACAGTTCAGTTGACCCTAGGGGGTGTTAAAGGATTTGTAAAAAACAAGGAAATTTATATTTGGGATTAAACCATCCCAGGAGAGTTTCCCTTTAATTGTAAAAAGGGCCAGATTCTGCTCTCCGTTCCTGCCGTGTAACTCCAAAATAACTCCCTTAGCTTCAGAGGAGTTAGTCCTGATTTACTCAAGTGTCGAGGGGAGAATTTGGCTTTATGTGCAATACTCTCAGGCATAAAGAAACCAGGGAGCATTCCCAGGGTTCTGGAACGGACACCAGCTCTCAATAGCTAGGGATCACCGCACCCCACCACACAGCTGCCCCCTGCTATAAGACACGACACGTGTGACTTTTGGGTGGCTGGCGACCGGGCGATGGGACGGAGTCCGTTGCCTCCAGCTCCCCGGAGCCAGGTCGGCAGCATGGGGCTGAAGGAGTCGTCTGGCCACCTCCAGTTTCTTGTACTAAGTGTAAATGTCTTTGGGACGGTCTCTGCTCAGGCCTCGCTGCTGTCCCAGTCCCAGCTGTGAGGGTTGAGGCATGCAACGGGTGAAGATTTAAAGGATTAACGGGAAAATACAGGCCTGAGAAGCAGAGGGAATAGAGTAATGGTTCCTAAACTGCGACCTGTGGAGCATTTGCTGGTGGTCTGTGGAGACGTCATCCCATATATCCAACTACTACACCCTATTAGAAGGGGTTACCCCCCCCCAACACACACACACTTTCCCCTGTAGCTGAGGGGGGAGGCCTGCCAGACAGAGGCCATTTACACGTCAAGCGGGACGTGGAAATACCCATGCTAACTGTGATCAAGCTAGTGCACTGAAAGTCCCTAGCACCTTGGATGGGCGCGGCTAACCCCACCTGCTCGCTCGACCACAGCTCGTGCGGGTACGCCTCCTCGAGCTGGGAAGGTTAGCTCCCACCTGCAGTGGAGAAGGGCCTGCGGCGATCGGCTGGTAGACCACACTCTGGGCTGGAACGTCCAGGAACCGCTGGCCCAATCGACTGTGGAGTTTGAAACACTTCACACGGCCCTGGTGTGTTTGCAGCTTTACAAACAGCTACTAGTGAGTTCAGCTGTACCAGGCCCCTAAGGAGGCGAGTCAGTATTATCCCCCAGTATGCACAGTGCCGTCCCAGATCTAACCCTTAGGCTACAAACCACGCCTGGACAGCACTGGGGCGAGGCAGCTGGAGAGGACCTAGTGTCTCCACACCCCTGCCAGACCAGAAAAGCACTCGGTCACCCCGACAGACCCTTCTGGTAGCCTCCGTTTTGTCACCAGGCTCTCAGCATCTCTCCAGCCAGCCAGCGGACAAGCTCTGGGAACACTGGGGAAACTCACTTTCTTCTCACATGCAGAGGCAGGGACCTTACACCCCTGGCCCTTTCTAAGAGTACTGAGATGGCCTCCACTTTTCCGAGTCTCCCTTCCACCACCCCACACCGCAGCGTCACCCCAGCCACCTGCTCAGCTCGGCGTCAAGCTCTAGAGTTAGCCAGCCCACCGAGAGAAGAATTCACAGACAGTGCATCATTAGGGTTAGGGACCACAAGAGTCATCTACTCTAACCCCCTGCCACGATGCAGGATTTGCTGTGTCTAACCCATCCAAGGCAGACGGCTATCTAGCCTCCTTTTGACAACCTCCAGGGAAGGAACTTCCACGACCTCCCCTGAGCTATGCTCTAAAGAAGTCTTTCTGGGTTCCACAGCTGGAACTCAGCCGCATCCCAGGTGACAGGAGGCAAAGGCAGGTGAGAATGGGCCATGTCTAGAGAAGAGAATGCCAGTAAGCCTCGATGGGAAGAACCTGGCTAGGCCCCAGGAGAGTCAGGGCTCTGGTGGATGCTGGCAATTTTGAAGCTGATAGGAGGCTAATTGCTTGAAAACCAGACTCCTGGGTCTTTGTGGCCTCGGTCGGTCAAATGTTTGTCCCGGTTTCCTGCTCAAACAGGCATGTTCTGCCCTGACTTCCACTAGAGCTGGCCCAATCCCAGCCCCCCTTTGAGCAGCCCTGGAAACCGCTCCTGAATCCAGCGTGGCTTGTGAATTTGGGAGCTGCAGGCCAAAACTCCATTGATAGAAGTTCTGTTACGGAGACAGCTGGCAGGCAGCATTCTGCTCGGGGCGTGGCTGGGTGCTGGGGGTGGGGGTTCTGGCTTTGGGCCTGATGGGACTCGTGCATGAAGAGTAGCTGCAGGAAGTTTGCCCAGAGGACAGTGATGGCTAATACGGATACCACCCAAAGCAATGCACAGGCGCAGCCCACCCCCAAGCGTATGTATCGGTCCTGCTTCCCTGGACAACTCATGTGTCAAGGAACATCCTCGGAGTGCTTCCATGTGGGAGAGCTGGGCAATTCTTCTATTCAGATATTTCATTCATGTGAAGCGCATGGGCAATATCCTTGTTCCCCGGTTCCTGGAATAAGAGGCCCTGGGCTCATTCCTGCTGGTTTCCTGGGTACACGGGGTGGCTAATTCTCATGATTTTGTCTGAGATTTGTCCCAAAACTCCAACTGCTGGAGTGATGGACTGAGAATCTCAGCTTTCCTTTTGTTAAAAATGTACGTTGCGAGCCCTGGTGGTTAAAGGGAAAAGCTGGAAAACACAACCCAAAAGGCTCAGAAACCAGAAAACGAGCCCAAAAGGTATCCTTTTTTAAAAGCCTCCTGGTGTTTAAACTGATCTGATTTTTCGAATGCCTGATGTTGGCAATACGGTGTGCATGGGAGAATTTCGGCAGCAGGGTACCACCTCCATAACCTGAGCAGGCAGAGGGGGACAGAGTTAAAAACAAACAAACCAAATATAAAATCAGTCCTCTCTCCCGCATTCTCTCTGTAAAGCCGCTGCTCAGGCAAGGCATACAATGCAGGCATACTAGGAGTGAGAGACCAGTCTGGTGTCCCTGGCTCTAGCCCTTGGGGTCTCTTGACCAGTTTCCCTAGTAGCCAAGTCCCCCAGTCCTCCACAGAGGAGCCAGCATGGGTCACTCAGACCCAGGTTTAGCTCCCAGCAGCTCCTGCGTGGATCCAGAGCTGAGCCCTGAGGCCCAGGGTGGGTGACGGGAGAGCTGGCAGGCGACGATGACACAGACTGGAGAACGAGGCAGCTGTCCGCATTGCGGTGCAAAGGGGCCCTCCAGCTACCTCCAGGATGGGGCCTTCGGTCCACAACAGCAACGGTCTGGGTCATTAGCTGGAGAGTAATTAAACCGCGCAGCGAGAGGTGATGGGAGAGTCTCTTCCCCGGGCAATCAGGACCCAGTGGGAGAGATGGTAATGCAGCAATCTCCACTGAAACAGATCAGTCCTGCTGCTTCCTCTGCATCCCTCATCTCCTTATCACCAGCGAAGGCAGGCACTGCTGAGCGAGACCCCTTGCGAGTCAGACCCAGCAAGCTCTGACCACACAGCACACCCCAGGTCCTGGATATCTCAGGGGCTTGGCAATGGATCGTGGGTCTTCCACCCTCTAGAGACTTCACTGCCGAAAGCCTGTGGAGTTTCAGGCCCGTTCCCAGTGGGCCAGTGGCCACATCACACAGGGCAGCACTGTCCCTGGCCATCTCAGCAGAGAGGCAAGGATCAAATGGGCCACAGCAACTGACCTCCTGCCTGGAGCTGGTCCCTCCAGAGCAGGGGGCGGCACATGACATGGGGCCTGAGGTAGGGTCATGTTCTAGTATCACAGCGACCCCAGGAACCCAACTAAGATCTGGGCCATGGGCGTACACCAGCCTCCACCCAAAGAGCTCGCAATCAAAATAGACCAAGGATCCAACACAGAGAGGGGCAATGACTTCCCAGAGACCACACAGCCCATCACCGACACTGCCAGGAACAGAGCCCTGGTCTCTGGAATCCTCCATGGGCGCACTATCCACTGGGCCAGGCTACCTCCCCGTGTCTGTGCCGTGCCTCTCTGCTCTGAAATCACCGGC